TCCCGAAAGGTGACATCCATTTCCTGCCGCCGCGACCGCAGCCAGCGCCGCTTTGTCGTCACCGGCTGCGGGGTGAAGCCAGGACTTGCAGTCCTTGTCCTGGTCCTGTCCTGCTCCGGGTCGCTCCTTCGGGACACGGATTGCGGGGGCACCGGGAGAGCAAATCCCCATCTGGGGTTTTGTGGGGGACAGAGCTGTGCCCCGTTGTCCCGGGAGGCTGGAGCATCCCTGGGGATCTGCTCTGGCTGCCGGCTGTGCTCGCCCCGGTCTGATCCCTTCCTCCTCCGGGAGCAAAGCAGGGCTGGGAATGGGATCAGCAGGGAGAACGGGCAGGGCTGGGGCTCCCAAGGGTGCTGGCTGGGTTTAGTACTGGGATTTTGGGGTGGCTGGGGCAAACCCCGGGGCAGTTGAGCTCACTGCCAAATCGCAGCCTGGCACAGCTAAACTGGGCTGTGTCTAAATCTGCTCTGTGAGCTGCAAACTGGGGGGGGCTGCAGGGGATTTTCATCCCAATCCCAGCTGAACTCTGTAGCTGGGGGTGAGCTCCCAGGAGAGGGGCACAGACACGGCCACCCCCAGGGACAGGGCTGGATGGAGCACAGCAGGGATGGGGACAAGGACAGGCAGCCCAGCCCAGCCCTGCCTGCCCTGGGGACAGCACTGTCACAGCTGACACTGTCACAGCCTCCTCTGGGCTCCATTGCAGAGCCAGGACTGGACCAAGAACGACGAGAAGCTGCTGCAGGCCGTGGACTACAACGATGCCGGGCGGGTCACGTCGCTCCTGCTCCGCAAGGGCCTGGTGCCCACCAAGCTGGACTCGGAGGGCAAATCGGCGTGAGTGCCAGCCCCGCCCTAGGGACACGGCTGGGGACAGGGGACACGAGTCCCACAGCCCCTGGTCTCACTGCAGGTTCCACTTGGCTGCCACGCGGGGCAACGTGGACTGCCTGGAAGCAATGCTGGCCCACGGCGTGGATGCCATGACCAAGGACAGCTCGGGTGAGGGCACGGCCACCACGTGCCCCTGCCTAATGCCATGGGCCACACGGGGCCACTGGTTGTCCCCAGGTGTTGAGGCTGAGGGAACAGAGGTGGTGGCCACACCTGGGGGGCTGTAAGTTGTCCCAGTTTCCTAAAGGAGCTCAAGCAGTGCCTGATGAGCTGCTGGGGTTGTCCCCTTCCTGCTCAGCCCCATTCCAGCAGATCCTGCTGTGCCCGTCTCTCTGTCTGTCCCCAAGCTGTCCCCTCTGGCACAGCCCTGCTGGCCGTGCTCTGACCTGTTTGTCCCTTCCCAGGTTACACTGCCCTGCACTTGGCCTCCAAGCACGGCCACCCTCAGTGTGTCAGCAAACTGCTGCAGGTACAGGGAGAGGGAGGAGGGACAGAGGGATGGAGGGAGGTGTTGTGCCAGCGCGGTGTCCTCCCTGTCCTTCAACCCCCTTCCCTCGCCCTCGGCATGCTGCTTCCCAGCTCCGTGCGCTGCTGCCCGGCACCGGGGAGCCACACGGGCTCTGTCCCTTGTCCTTCACCACAGCGTGGAGCCAGAGGGGGTTTGTCTGTCTGTCCCCCTCCTTCACCACACCACGGAGTCTGTCAGTCCCCTGCCCTTCACTGTGCCAGAGCCACTCGAGCAGTCTGTCCCTCTGTCCCCCTCCTCCGGTGACCCAGGCTCTCCCCCCAGGCCTCCTGCCCCGTGGATGTGGCCGATGGCAGCGGCAGGACCGCGCTGCACCTGGCGGGTGAGTAGGGACAGTGCCAGCCCTGTCCCGCTCGTGTCCCCGCGGGGGCAGCGCTCAGCCTCTGTCCTTGTCCGCAGCTGCCAGCGGCTGCATCTCCTGCTCCGAGATCCTCTGTGACTTCAAGGCTCCCTTGAACAGCAAGGACAAGGTGAGGTCCCTCTGCTCCCGGTCCTGCTGTGCCAGGCTGCGGCCATCCCGAAACGCAGCACAGCTTGGGGCGTGCTGTGGAAATCGGGGTGATACCGGGAGTCATGTCAGGGTGCCCGTGGGGGGATCTGAGCCTCCCCGCTCATCCTCCCCCGTGCCGTGCCCAGGACGGCTCCACGCCGCTGATCCTGGCTGCCAAGATGAGCCACTCGGAGCTGTGCCGGTACCTCCTGCACCGCGGGGCCGCCGTCAACTGCCGGGACCTGCAGGGCAGGTGGGGCTGCAGCGCTGGGGGCCGGGAGCGGCCGCGGGGATTGTCCCTCACCCGCGCTCTCCCCGTGCCCAGGACAGCCCTGATGCTGGCCTGCGAGAGCGGCAGCGTGGACACCGTGGAGGTGCTGGTCAGCGC